TTCTTATCATAGCCTTTCCCACATGCTGTTCCACATCATTCTCCATGCAGCTTCCCTGGCCTTACTTTCGTACAGCACTGATCTGGATCTGAAGTATGATACTGATTAGGCTTCGACTAGTTGTTCCCCTTGCTTGGAACATGAAACCCAGAAGAGTAAGGACCACACCTATGTCCTTTATTACTAGATGCCCAGGCCCTGGATAGTGTTTGGCACATATTAGAAGTTCAATGAACACTGAACTTAATCAATGAACATTGTCTTAATCATCAGTGGAGGTATTCAATAACATTTTGACAAGTACATATAGAAGAGAGGAAAACAGATAATGCAGCATAAGAGAATGCTAAGTGATGAATTATAAAGGGACACTCAAAATGGAGTGTAGTGAGATTTCAAGGAAGTCATGATTTTCATTCATTTCTTAGAGAAAAGGCATGATTTAAGTTGGTGACAATCTGGCCTGGAAGGAAACAATTAGGCGAAGGCACTCCCAATAACATACTCCAATATGGACATGCACATTTTCATCCCAGAGATAGAAGGAAGATAAACTCAAAACACATGGACATGGTGTAGAGAAGAGGGAAATAATCACAGTATCTGCTTTCAATACTTGGTCAAACAACAGTGAGTTGTTCAAAACACCAAGTAACTACCATGAGAGTGACATAAAATACTATTTGAGGAAAAATAACCCAGAACTTTAGATTGAACAATTTAAATTGGCTAGAGATTATAGTCAAAAATATGAATTACTATAAAGTATAAAACCTATTAATGGACTTCAAATCAATTTCACAACTGTTTTTGAGTATCTTCTGTGTTCACAGTGATGAGGTAGGCCTACTAAGTTTGAAAAACACATCAAAATAGTGTTTAATGTTGCAGGGGCTAACAGAAGTACTCAAAGAATATACAAAACAGAAGATAGCAGATGTTATAAAGAATGCTAACCAACACGCCCGTTAGTGTACGGTTTTCTTCATGTCATTTAGTGCAAAAGTGGTTTATGGTGTGTGTGGTGTGTGTGTGTGTGTGAGAGAGAGAGACAGACAGAAACAGAGAGACAGGAAGAAAGTGTGTGAAATGAAGATTAAGAAAAATAAATTCATGAACAACATAGATTTTAAATTTTGGAGTTTGTTTTGGTTTGTTTTGCTGTTGATAAGTAGATATAAGAAGATAAATTTTATTTTATTTATTTACCTATTTTGAGACAGAGTCTCACTTTGTCACCCTCAGTAGAGTGCCATGGTGTCACAGCTCACAGCAACCTCAAACTCTTGGGCTCAAGCTATTCTCTTGAGTCAGCTCCTTTGTAACTGGGACTACAGGCACCTACCACAACACCCAGCTCTTTTTTTGCTGTTGTTTGTTTTCTTTTTTCTTTTCTTTTTTTTTTAAGTAGCCTCAGGCTGAGTTCAAACCCACCAGCCCCAGGGCATGTGGCCAGCGCCCTAACTGCTGAGTTATGGGCACCGAGACAAGAAGATAAATTTTAAAACAAAGATAAAGGTAAGGACATTCTAGAGAATTTCTTTTATTTATTCAGATATTTGCATAAGAAAATCCTGGGTGCCAATTCTGTGTCAGGAGCTAAGAAAGGCACTGGGAATAAAACAACCAAGAGTCATTCTCTATCCTCTACTAGTTTCTTATTTACTGGGGGCAGCATATAATAAATAGTTAAGAACATTTCATCACGGAAAAATTCTATAACTGGAGAATGTGGGGATTCAAATCTGCCTTGCGTGCTTTCCGGAGAAGAAAAACTGAATCCTCCAAGATAAGTAAGACTTATGTTGGATAGGTAAAAGAGGAAGAAAAATGCATTTGGGGAAGACGAGAAAGAGTAAACAAAGCCTTCAATCAAGAGAATGATAGGGGGAGTGGGGTGTATTGGGGGAAGCAGTCACTGCAGACCGAGGCCTTAAGAAGCACTGCAGACTTCTACTCACTCTCTTGCTTCTCAGCTATTGCCAGAGAGGAGCTTCCCTTGGTAGCAACTGCACCATTAGCCTGGGCTCCAAATAAGTCCCTATAGCACAGAGCTGGGGCCAGCGCCTAGTGAAGAGACAAGTCCAACCAGAACTGCAGCTTCAAGCAGAGTGGCCCAGTCAAGTTTGCCCTGGGATCCTTGACTCACAGATACATGAGAAGGAAACACTTCTTACAGGCCACGGAGATCTTGTGTTTGTTTGTTATGCAACAGTAGCTTACTCTTGTAGGTGGCAACAGGAACCCAGGTTTTTGGTGAGATAAAATCTCAGCTGTGCTGTGAGAATGAAAACAAAGAGGATTGGCAGGACATGGAAAGTAAAACTGGGACATGAATGAAATCGAGAAAAAAATTCTAAATTTGCAAAGAATGTGGAATTATGCCTTTAGATGTATATATTCTTAAGGAGGATTCCCAAAGGAAATTGGTCTCGCCTTAAAATTTAAACTCTTTACGCCTTACCAAATATTAGGCCACTTCTTGTCCTGCATTCTCTCAAGATTAATTCAATTCTATCTAATTCAATTCAGTGAATATTTAGTGAGCATCTACCGTGTGCTGGGCATTGTTAAGAGTGCAAAGATTGATTCATCCATTTAGTAACTATTTATCGCATGCTTATGTTATAAGCCAGCCTGCGCCGGCCTGCAAATGTAATGATGCATGATCTCCTACAGTTAAGGGGGCTAGGATGGCTCTCACAAGCAGTTACAATGTTATATAATTAATGCTATTGCATGGGTGTGTAAAATAATAGTGAAGGTCTATTGTGCACTTACGCTAAGCCAAGCAGGGTTCAAAGTACTTTATGTATTCTCACATTTAATCCTCCCCCACATAGATCTTCAACCGTTTTGTGATATATATTATCATCCCCATTTTATAGAAGAAGAACCTGTGACACAGCGTCATTTTACAAGGTCACAGTGCATTAGACTTTGGGAGAAGAAAATAACAAGAACTCAAACTAAGACAATAAACCTGGAATGGACAGAAGGGGTGATTCAGTGGGATTTGTGAAGTGGATTCAGCAGGTGAGCCAATGGAGCAGGTGAAGGCGACTTCTGAGTTCCTTGTATGGTTAAAGACTGAGATGCAATAACCTGAGGGTTTGGAGAATGGAGATGGGATTTTCAAGTTGAGATAAGCAGATGCAGCAGAACAGTGATGAGAGAGAAAGGCGAAAAGTGTTTGCTGAATCCTGGCAATCGTGTGGATATAAGTGACCATAGGAAAATGATTTCAGTAGAAGAATGAAATCAAAAAACAGGTGGTTATAATCAAGGTTTAAGAGAAGGTGAAGAAATAGAGACAGCAAACACAGTGCTCTTCTAAAAAGTTTAGTAATGAGGATAGAGTACGGGGATCACTTAGTTATGGGGAAGATAGAACCTGGAGAAGAATTTTGAATTAGGGTAGATAGGAGAGAAATTTAACTACAGGGTATTTTTTATTGCCAAGTAACAGGGTGCACTACCGGCTATTTTTAGTGTTTATAGAATATGTCGGAGGTGGGGGAGGTACATTACTGCCACTTACTGGGTGGTCCGTGCAAGTGCAGGCAGTCCCTCACAAAGAAAA